ACACACACACACAAGGGGCTCTGGTGGCATAGTCCCTAAGGCATCTGACTGCTAACCCAAAGGCTGGCAGTTCAAACCCACCAGCCACTCCTCACAAGGAAGGCTGAGCAATCTACTTCTATAGTGACACCACCTCGGAAACCCAAGGAGGGGTTACTATGAGTCAGATCTGATTCAATGGCAGTGCGTTGCATTGCGTTTATTTTATACACACACACATACATATATGTATATATGTGTATACCAGTTTCCCCTGATATTCAGAAGTAGAGTATTCCTATGAAATATTTCGCAAGCCAAAAAAGGCATAACGTGAAGAAGCAAGTACCATTAATTTAAATGGGAAGAATTGTTGAGCCTTCCCAGACCCCAAAAATAGCCTACCATATAATACAAATAACCCATAAAACCTAAATAACCAAATAACCCATAAAACCTAAAATAACACTAACACACTGTGTTCACACTTTTTTTTCCCTTTTTTCATAAAAGCAAAAATCTTCTCATTTCTTTCAGGTAGCAAAAACAGGTACTAACGTAGGTCTTTTATAAAAAGCGAAGTGGCAAAAAGCAAACTTTCGAATGGGGGGCGCACAGAGATACCTGTATGTAAATATATATGTGTGTATGCATTTGTGTGTGTGTGTGTGTGTGTGTGCATACATATATATAAAACCAAACTCACTGCCTTTGAGTTCAATCCGACTCATAAGGACCCCTCCTTGGGTTTCCAAGGCGGTATCACTACGGAAGGAGACTGCCCAATCTTCCTCCTGAGGACTGGCTGGTGGTTGTATATACATATATACAGACACATACATACATACATACAAGGAGCTCTGGTGGTGTAGTGGTTAAGATATTTGACTGCTAGCCAAAAAGGTCTGTGGTTCAACCCACCAGCTTCTCCACGGAAGATGAGACAGTTGCTTCTGCAAAGATTTACAGCCTTGGAAACCCGTGGGGTCGCTATGAGTCAGAAATGACTTGATCGCAGTGAGTCTGGTTATATATATATATATATATATATAACTGATATTGCAGCCTTGAGTCCAAAGTCAATACAGCAGGCCAGCCGGCTGAAAACTTGCACAGGATTTCCCTTTTTTTTTAAAATTGTGATTTGGATGACAGTTTACAGAGCAAATTCCTTTTCCATACAGCTGTTCATACACAATTTTGTTTCATGACATTGACTGCAATTCCCCACAATGTAACAACTCTCTTCACACTTCCTCCCCATAGTTACCTCTTCACTGTGTCCTTTCCTCCCATTCACTCCCACCCACTAAGCTATCTCCCTGTGCCCAATTGATGGCTCCAAGGAGTGTATCTACCTGATGTAAATGGTCACCCCATAGGCCTGTCTACAGTTTGTCTAGAAGCCACGGGAGTGAGTTCAGTTCCAGACCTGAAGGGTAAAAAGAGACCATAGTCTCAGGAGTCTCACCACACTCTATCAGACCAGCAAATCTGGCCTTTTTTTGTTTGTTTTGTTTTGCTTTATGATTTTGAGTCTTATTCCACATTGTTTTCTCACTCTATCCAGGATCTCCTGCATTGATCTCCCCTCTGAGTGGTTGAAAGTGGTAGCTGGGCACCATCTAGTTTTTCTGGTCTCATGGTCATAAAGGCTAAGGATTGCATGGTCTACTAGTCCCTTGGACTAATTATTTCCATGTATCTTTAGTTTACTCTGTTCTTCTTTGCTCTGGACAAGGAGAGACCCATCATTGCATCTAGATGGCTACTGGCCAGCTTTTAAGACTCCAGTCACTATTCACCAAAGTAGGATGTAGAACAATGTTTTTGTGCAGTAAGGTATGCCAATTGAGCTTGATGTCCATGAGACCATGGCCCTGAGCCCACAGGTCCAACTATTTGTTCCCTCAGGGTAGCTGGCTATGGCCTAGAAGCCACCACAACCCTGTCCCTTGTCAACTCTACTATACACCCATACATTCTTACATTCTTACAGCACATACAAATACGCATGTAGAAACATCATCTGCTGACCCTATACATGGTCAAAGGCACACTCTCCCCTGCCTAGACATGCTTGATCACTCAGGCTGCTCACCCATCTATCCACACACAGATCAATGCTTGCCATCACTGACAACACAGTATTGTACATGCAAAAAATTCATCTTTGTTGTTTGTACCTCCCATATACCTCTCTATGTCATCTTCTTCATCAGTCACACAGGATGTCTATGTTAAAGTCTTGAGGCACAATTCCTTCTTCTCCAGGAAGCCTCAGTTTTGCTTTTAAGGTCTTCAACTAATTAGATGAGGCCCACCACATTATCAATATCCTTTACTTAAAAATCAACCTGATTTCAAATATCAATCATATCTAAATTCATATCAACCTCCAGAGTAGCATTTAAACAAACAATTGGGCACCAATTTGACTAGCCAATTTGAAACATGTGTGTTAATAGAGCTTTGGTTAGTGAAATTTAGTTTGATGGGTGAGGGGTAGCTAAAGGTTATAGTAAAGGGATAAAGTAGGGGTCAGATTGTAAAGCCCGAAGAATTCAGATTTTGCTCAGACTCTATAGCTTAATGTACATTCGTATCTGGACACTTGCCATTATGTCTGCTTGTCAGATCCCATCCAAAACACCCACAGTATTATCTTAGCATGAAACCAAATTTCCTCATACCTCATGTCTTTGGCTTAGGGAATCAATAATAAGTATTCCTTCTTTTTTTTTTTTACTTTTACTTTGGTGAAAACACACACAACAAGACATTCACCAACATAACAACTTACACTTACAGCTCAGGGACATTGATGACATATTTCATATTGTGCCACCATTAATAATAAATATTCTTAAGAGAAGGAATCCAGGTGATCTTGTAAAATAGCCAAGCCTGTCAGAATCTGATGAAAAACTCTGAAAAAGTTTTTTTTAAGATGTCTGTTTCTATTTTGGAAGTGGGCGGCTCATAGGCAACAACCGAAACTTCTGCTCTGCCTAAGGGAATTGATAGCCAAGGGGAAGTGGTATCCAGCTAAGGAATTTATTCCTGGCTTACTGTCAACATTCTCTTTCCCACCACTGAAGCCCCAAAATATGTTTACAGAGAAAAATGATACCAAAGACTAAATTATAAAAAGAGAGGTTGTGAATATATGTGGTAAGAGAACTAACATTTGGGTTTAAAACCAACAAGAGATTATGAAATGTCATGAGATGAAGTGATTTGGAATGGGAGTATGAAAGGAGGTCCCTCAGAGAGAGGAACTGTGAAATCTCATTCTAACAATGAAGAGAACAGAAGAGGAGAAATAAAAAAAGCAGACACATGAGAAAAATAGACTGAAGTGTGATTCTGGAAGCTGAAGGGAACCAGCAACAACATGAAAGATGGTTGGTGAATTGGTGGTTGCCTTGAATTACAAACAGTTGGGAAATATCCTACAATGCAACCTACGAGATATGCTGGTAGCGTAGTGCCTAAGGCACTTGACTGCTAACCAGAAGGCTGGTGGTTCAAACCCATCAGCCACTCCTCGGAAGGAAAGTTGGGCAATCTACTTCCGTAGCGATACCGCCTCGGAAACCCAAGGAGGGGTCACTATGAGTCGGGTCTGACTCGATGGCACATAACAACAACAACAACAGGGAAAAATACCCAAACCTAGTAGAATAGGCTTTCCATAATCAAGCACAGTGGGGAACTCAAGGCCTTCCTCTCCATGTGAATTTTCCCTATTGATATTTCCAAACAGCTCAATGTCACTTACAGTTCCTTCTTCTGCAAGAAATGATATGGACTGGTCCATGCCTCCTCCTTCAGTGCCAATATAACGCTCACTCTTAGCACAGATTTCTGCAAGTTCCACCTGGAAAACAAAAAGTACTTTGCACTGTGAGTACAGTCATAATCTATTTCTGTCCATTTATTACACCAGAAATGACAATTCCAGTGCCAACTCTGATCAATTGATATCAACTATATGGAGCATTGTGTTAGCAAGGATTCCACAAGTATAGTTGAGGCCAAGAGGAAAACATGCCAAGATTGATTAACAATGGCTGTCATGGGTATGGAATGAGATACTGGCAGAGTTTGACATGTACTTTCCTTCTCTGGTTTCCTCATCTTTCTATATGTCCCATCCCCCTCTGGACTGTTAACACTAAAAATCTCATATGGGCACTCATTCATTTCTGCCTCAGCTGCCTTTGTCTCTCCATAGCCAAAGTGGGGGTCATTAACTTTATTTTCCAGTCCCAAAGTAATGCTGTTTCTCTGCCACTTTCATTAAAGGTATGAATCAAAACTAGTGTCATCACATCAGATACATCTTCCAACACCTGCGATGAAGATGCCCAACTGATGAAAACAGTTTTAATCCAAATGAAAACAAAATTAAAGATAGAAGGAAACAATAAGAATATACTTTATTATCAGTTATAGTGTTCAATGCTACCCTGTCACTTCCAAAATATCATTTTTATCTGTTTAAAAGTCTGCAGTGGCTCCCTACTGATTAATGAAATAAATTTAAACTCTTAACTTGACATTTCAAATCCCTCCGGAATCTGGACCAAGTCACATATGAAATCTTATCATCTACCCCTCTTTCCAGTCATGTTTGTCTGCTTAGCCATCTCAGACAAGTCTATGCAACCTGAAACTAGTTTCTGTCCTCTCTCCTATATAAATCCTATTGCCATTAAATACCCAACTCATTGGCCACCAATTATGGGAAAGTCATGGGGCTGGTCACTCAGATCTTCCCCCTTCATAGAACTTTCCTCAAATATACTTCCTACTATGGCATACCTTTTCTCTGAACTCATATAATACTTAAGCATTCAGCTGAGATCTGAAAGCTTGGCAGTTTGCAACCACCCAGCAGCTCCATAGGAGAAAAACTTGGCAATTTGTTCCTATAAAGATTATAGCTTAGAAAACCTTATGGGGCAGTTCTACTCTGTTACATGAAGTCACTATGAGTTAAAATGGACTTGAAAGTACCTAACACAACATTCACCCACCCCAGTAGCCACTCATTCATTCATTCATTTTTCCTCTCAGACTTGATTTCTCATCTTATTTCTCACCGGTTTACTAGAAGATGTTCCTAGAGTGACCATTCTGAAACACTGAAAGAATCATCTCTTACCTTCTTGGTTGCCACTGAAAAAGTATTAGCCACCAAGCTCTCACACATCTCAGTCTTCAAGTGCAACTTTATTTCCTTCTCTCTCAATACTTCTCTCTTTAGCATCAACAACTATCTCCAGCACCCCCTACTAATCACCAGGATTAACTCAAGCATCACCTCCCCTAGAACCCACACTACCACCCAAATACACACATACATAATCCCTCTTCTCCATTCTCATATTATGCTTTATAAAATTCTATTATCATTTACAACACTGTGCTTTTGATTGTGAGTTTCTTGTCTCTTTACTCACCAGTCCATGAGAGCCCATGAAACACCTATGTTAGCTGAATCACATCGTGTTTTATATTATCCTTTAATCATGTCATGGTTCAATCACAACTGTTTTGCACACAAAACTGTCAGTTCTGTGAGCAATGGATCAAACACTGGGTTTCTTTTGTGTCTCCTTCCTTACACAATGCACATAATAAATATAAAACCTTGCTGCTTTCACTTTCTGAGAATAGTTGACAATACCATCTGAAAAATTCTCTAAATGTATTTTTTTCAGTCACGAGGTTTACTAGCATTAACTATACCTTGTAACATGAAGTAAACTTGGAATTTTGACGTAATGGGCATTGGGCATGGCCTGTTAAATACACAGAGGCAGTGATCTGTCCATAATAGGCACATTAAAAATAAATTACTAACAACAGGTCAAAATACTTGGATGTGAAAATGTAGAGAAACAATGTACCCAAGTGAAGCAGTGCACAAAGAATTCACTGAAGAATGATAGGACTTAGGTTTCCTCCTAACCGTGACCCTGTTGTTGTTGTTGTTGTTGTTATGTGCGGTCGAGTCGGACCCGACTCATAGCGACCCCTCCTTGGGTTTCGGAGGCAGTATCACTACGGAAATAGATTGCCCCATCTTCCTTCCAAGGTGTGGCTGGTGGGTTTGAACCGCCCTGGACCAGTGTGAATAACCACCAACAATAGCAGTAATGACCACATTAACGCGTACCAAGTATATGGTAAGTATCTGATATTATGTCTTCCATAAGCATTTTCTCTTTTAAACTTCCAAATGACCTTCTGTTTATCCCAATTATAGCTCTGGTGCCACAGTGGTTAAAGCGCTCGATGGCTAACCAAAAGGTCAGTGGTTTGAACCCACCAACCACTCCACAGAAGCAAGATGAGGCAATCTGCTTCTGTAAAGATTTACAGCCTTGGAAATTCCAAGGAGCAGTTCTACTCTGACCTATAAGGTCGCTATGAATGGGAACAGACATGATGGCAGTGGGTCTGGGGTTTTTATTTCTCTTTTTTTTTTTTTTTTGGTTTTAGTCCAATTACACAGATGAGAAAAATGGGGCTTAGAAACTTATAACTGGAAGAGGAGGAGGCAAGATTTTAACCATGTCTGTTTAATTCTAAAGCCTGTGTTCTTTTCAGACTGGACTTTAATTACTCACCTCAAAATGGAGTTAATATTGCCTGCTGGGGAACTCTGGTGGCATAGTGCCTAAGGCATTTGACTGCTAACCAGAAGGCTGGTGATTCAAACCCATCAGCCACTCCTTGGGCAATCTACTTCCATAGAGATACTGCCTCGGAAATCCAAGGCAGGGTCGCTATGAGTTACAATCGACTCAACAGCAGTGAGTGTGGTTTGGTTTTGGTATTTCTTCACTACTTCACAGGGATTTAAAGGGCAGACAAGTTCAATAAAATCTAAGTGTTCTCCTGAAAAAGATACTAAAGCTTTAAGAAGTTAATGCTTATTAATTTTTTTAAGTCTCTTGATGTGTACAAAAATAGGATGTTAGTTTTTCCAGATCATCTAACTGGATAGAACTCAGTGGCCCCAGAAGACCCCAGAATCTCTGTGCCAAGGACAGTTCACCTTCAGGACAATGGACATACTTCTTCCTCTCATATTAAATTCTGACACATCAATCCCATGGCTAAACATACAACACCCAACAGGCCTAAATGCAGGAAAAAAAAAAAATGAAGATAAGGAAGTCAAACAATTAAAGAAAGTATGACTCATTTTATAGTCCCTCAGACTGTGGAATTCAGTAGCAAATATAATAGAAAAAATTCAGTAGCAGAAGGCCCCAAGACTTAATTCAAACCCTAATTTTCCCACCCACTAGCTGTATGACTTTTGATAAATTGTTGAACTTTCCTGAGTTTCATTTCTTCATATAATGTTAATAATAACAATAGTCAGAACTAGTATTTATTGAACACTGTGTGTATGTATCATTCTAATTGCTTCACATTAATTATTTACATAATGACCTTATGAGATATGTATCTCCCCATTTTACAGATGAGGAAACCAGTGAATGTAGCTGAGACCAAGCTAGTAATTAGTGGAGCTGAAATTCAAACTCAAATTATTTCACTCCAGAGCCCATATTCTTAATCACCATGCTAAATTACATTCCACTCATGTTATAAAGAAAAGTACCCACTTCCCTAGCTATGAGATTATTGTGAAGAGCCAATGAATTAAATTAAAACACCTCATAACCTCTAAAACACTATATAACTGTTAATCTTATTATTTTTACACCATGAATAATCATTTTATTTACACAAGAAAGTAGCTAAATCCCAAGCCAAATCTAAAAACAAGTTATAACTATTCTGGAATACAAGGCCTTTTTAAAAAGAAGTCAGGGAATTAAAGAACAAAAGATTCTAGACATAGATCTTAACAATAAAAAAACAAACAACCCAATCACAGAGTACGCAAAGGACCTGAACAGACATTTCACTAAAAAAGATATACCAACAGCCAACAAGCACATGTAAAGATGCTCAGCATCATTAGCCATAAAGGAGATCAAAACCACAATGACTGGTTAAGGATAGAGTTGTATAGTCAATTAAAGTAATTGCTGTAATAAGTTGTACCTCAAAAAGTTGAATTGGCAAAAGTTGTGTGATAGATATATTTATAACAATGGGGAGGGCAGAGTAGCTGCTCAGGCTACTTATGTATAATCAAAAACCTCATGGGATTTGGTTCCTCAGTTCAGAGGTTTAAGGTCATGTTTCATGGGGCATCCCAGTTAACTGGCCTAATATTGTGTCTGTTGTTGTTGTTATTGTTGTTATGTGCTGTCAAGTTGGACCTGTGTTTAGTGTTTCTGTTTTACTTCCTAGTTTGATGCATAGTCCCCGGGGTATTAACAGTTTGCAAGCAGACATCCAGGGTACAATTGGTCTCTACTCACCTGAAGCAACAAAAGAAGAAGGAGAGTCAGGAATAGGAAGAAAATATTAGTGTATGGCTAATTGCCTCCATGAACAACTGCCTCCTTTGCCAAGAGAACAGAAAAACTGGATAGTGCTTGGCTACTATTACTGAACATTTTGATCAAAGACTCTATAGAAGAATCCTGATCAAAAAGGGAAAAATGTGTAACAAAATATCAAATTCTCATGGACTCCATACTTTCTGGAATCATGGAGGCAGGATGAACCCTCAAAACTATTGCCCTGAGATAATCTTTAAACCTTAAACCAGACTTCCAGCAAGATGGCAGATTAGGCAGACAAGCTACCCATACCTTCTACAACAAAGACACGAGAAACCAAATGAACCAGATTTGATGATAATCTTGGAACCTTGAGATTTAAAGGAAAAGATAAAGAAGTAAATTGAATACCAATAAGCAGAAACTGAACAAAAAC